TTTTTTTAACGCAGAAAAAAAAAAAATTTGGTTCGGTCGATATTAATAATGATAACTCGTTTAATTATAAAAAAAAAAAAGTTTTGATAAATCAAACGCGTTTTAAAAATTAAAAAAAAATTGAATTTGATTATATTCTATCATTGTATTATTTGTTTTACAATATCGAGTCAAATTATGATGCAAATTTTTTTATTTATTAAAGTTCCCGTTATTCAACCAAAAAAAATAAATTAAAACTTTTATTCTTCCTTTTATTTTTCCTTTTATTAAGTGAAAAAAAAAAAAAAAAACGTGAATAAAATAAAAAAAAAAAAAAAAAAAAAGGTATTTAACTTTTAACGGTCTTTTTTGACCTTTGCCATACTTTTTTAACGAGTAAAAAAAAAAATTATTTTTATTTATTCAATTAATTATTTATGATATAAAAGTTTATTTTAAACTTGTTTTATACTTTTGTAAAATGAAATGAATACATATTTATTATTTAAAATTGGCCTATAATTTTTTAAATGTAGACTAAGAAAAAATGTTCGACTTAATAAAATCAATGTTTTTTCTTTTTTTTTTTTTTTAATCACAACAATCACGTGATTATTTGTTTTTATCGTTGAGGTTCTTTTGGCATAAACATATTAGTAAACTTGATAAAAAATTTCCTTAAGAATCGCATAATTCTCGTTTAAATATTTTTTTTCGAAATAAATTATTGAAACTTTAAATAACGAGGCATTTAAAAAAAAAAAAAAAGCAGAAGAAAAAAATTTTTTTTCCCTTACTTGATACCCAAGTTTAGAAGGTTCTAAATGATTTTCAAATATGGATGTGTTTGTCCATCCGTGAATGGATGTTACAGGAAGTACTTCTAAAAGATTATCATTATAATTAAGAGGATCCGAATTAAATAATCCAATCCAATCTCCTGGATTATTGGGAGCGTATTCCCATTGAATTTCAAGCCTTCGTACAGCTCCTGCTTTTCCCAATGCAGATACGAGTATTTCAATATGTAATCTTTGACAAAAATCTAAAATAAAATTTTTTTATTATAACGTTTAATTAATAATTTTTAATTATTATTATTATTTAATAATTTACGTTAATATTAACAAATTTTCATAGAAAACAGAGTAACATTTAAATAAAAATTAAAATTATTTTAAAAGTAATTTTTTTTTATTTGTTAACTATTCGAATTTCGAATATATTTCGAATTCAATTGCTATTTAAATATTATTTATTTTTTTTTTGAGTCAATAAAGACAAAAAAAATTTTTTTTTTAATGATAAATGAATTTTTAAAGAAGAAAATTATTAAAAGTTTTTTTTTTGTTATCAACAATAAAGTTTTAAAATTTTTTAAAGTTATTTTAATTATAAACTTTGCCTTGTCACACATGATTTTAAGGTTAAATAAATTGACATTAAACTAACCTTGTTCCTTGAAATAATTAGACTGTTATAATAATAATAATAATAATAATAATAATAATAATAATATGAATTACTCACTTGTCAAAATGTAACCTCCTCTTTTTTGAACATTTTTACAATAGCACATTTGAGTTATGAATAAAAAATAAATAAAATGAATGTTTTTCATTATGAAAATACAAAAGCACAAAACACTTTTAACAACTGGACCAAGGTTCCATGAAATGAAAAAAAAATTTTTTAAAAAAAATTAATTTAAAAAATCACATATCATCATCATCTATCACTAACTACATCACAGTTGTAACATTTAACTGGTTTATTTGTTAGCTTAAAAAAAAACTACTCATGTATTGTTTTGCAAACAGTTAATAAATCAGGCAAAAGTGTGGTTTTTTTTTTTTTTTGTTATTTGTATATTGATGACACTTTAGTTATTTACTTCCGACTTTTTTTTTTTTTTTTTTTTGGCCTGAATGAATTTTTTAATTGTATTTTCAATGTCACTGTAATTAATTTATTCAATGATAACCTACCGTGAAGATAATTAATGTTAAAAAAAAAAACTTGTAATATAAATAACCACAAAAAACTACTCAGTAGAAAAATAATAATAATACTCTTTAAATTTGTGTTTTCTCTTTAAATAAAAAATAAAAAAAAAAAAGAAAAACTTAAATCTTAAATGTGTAACGGTACTTAACGATGCTTTTAAATCATTTCCTTATATATATATATATATATATATAATTAAAATAAAATTCATTATAAATTTATAATATGAAAATACATTGTTGAAAAAAAAAAAAGTAATAATAAATACAATAATGAATGCCAAATTTTTTTTTTTCGTTGAAAGAACTTTAACCGACGGTTATTACAAATATTTTTTTTTTTTATAAAAAAAAATCTGATATTGTACTTAAGTGAATTTTATTTACATTTTCATATTATATAATATTTTAAAAATAAAAATAAAAATACTATACTTATAAGTATATTACATTTAAAGTGAGAGTGTGTATATATTTATATGTAAAATATACAAAAATAACAATTTTTTTTTTTTTTTTTTTGACTAGTTTTTATTTTTTAGTATTAAAAATTATTTTTATATCTTATTACATATAAATATCATTAATAATAATTGTTAATAAAGTTAAATTAGCATAAATTTAATTGGTCTCTGTTTCCATCGAAAGATTCTCTGATCTAAAAAAAAAAATTTTTTTTTTTTTATTTTAAATGCAATAATAAAAATTAAATTTTGAAGAAAAAAAAAATTTTAAACAATTCATATTTCATTTGTTTGTTGCTTACAACTGTGAAGATAAGCCATCAACTGGATCTTCTTCATTATCCTCCAACAAACACAAAAACGCATCATTTTCATAAGTTGAAAAAAAAAATCTAAAAAAAAAAAAAAAAAAAGACCATAATTTTATGGGAAAACAAAAATGGCAAAAATTATTAAAAATAATTAATTAGTCCTTACTCTGGATGATCCCAATTTTTTCTATCTGGTAGAGTGAAATGATTTGATTGCGTCATATGTTCTAGTAATGAATCTGGATTGGGAAATACTGATTGGCAATTACTACAGCGACAAAAACGAATTTCTCTTCTAATAAAGTTAACAATTTTTACCTAGAAAATTAAATAAATTATTGCACCTCATTAAAAATTTTAAAAAATTCATTAAATTTAAGTTTAGCAAAAAAAAAAGAAAAAGAAAAAATTTGATAATAAACCTGTTCGTAAAAATTGAGTTTCTTCATTACTGAATAATATGAAAAGTTGTGGGCAATAAACATGTGATTTATAATATCCTCCCATTCTTTACAAGAAAAAGGACAAAATAAACAAACAATTGAAGGGGGTTCTTCTAACCAATCTGACCAGTCAACCCCTTCTTCCCTCCATTGTGACCATGCATCCTCTGGCTGTGATTCTTCAATGTCTTCACGATGATGGCCTCCTTCTACATAATTAATTACATAAAAGCGATCATATTCTTTATTTTTACGATTTATCCTTTTATGAAATTTTTTACGCATATGTTCTTTGAGTATCGATCGATCCCTAAATATATGTTCACAATATATGCATTCCAATCTAGAGTAATATAAAATAAAAATTTAACTCGATAAAATTTTATGCTTATTGAAATTACTAAAATACTACAACGATAAAAAAAAATTTAAAAATGCACCACTTACTTATTTAATTTTTCTTCTAATTTATCTAAAAGTTTATCGATAAATACTAAATTGTCAGGTATTCCTAATTGTAAATTATGCTGATAAGACAAATGAGTTAAATAGTCATACCTAGAAGTTTTTTCAACATGTCTACAAAATAAACACTGTTTCACAAAAAATCTATCTTCTCTTTCTTTTTTTTGATATTCAAGAACCCATTCCTAAAAATACATAGCTTAAAATAGCCAATAATAATAATAATAATAATAATAATAGCTGACAACATGACAAATTGTCATGTTCAAAAGTGATAATATTAATAATAATAATCATAAAATTTTTCAAAAATAATGTAAGTTAATTGAAATATTTGTATCACAAGAAAAAAAAAACCAAAATAATTAAATAAAACTTAAAATATAGGAATTTAGAAAGGAAAAATTCTAGGAAAAAGGGAAATAAAATGAATGTATTTTTGATGATAGTAGAAACACTGGGAGTTACTTTAGAATTGCTACAGGCCACTTGAAGAATATTTTTGGAAAACTTAAAAAAAATCTGAGAAAATTAGGTTATGCAGGATGGCCATTTTTAAGAACAGTAAGGTTAGCACCAGCAAGATTCGAAAATTGTCTGAGAATTCAGACAGAAATTTAGAACAAATGCTGTAAAAACTTATTAACTTCAAGAACCGACATGTGAAAATGAAAATGATATTAACAATAAAACATAGGTTTTTAAATAATTAAAATATAAACCTATGTTTATTTAAATATTTGAGTTTAAATTTTCTTTTAAATTATGATTATTGAACACTTAACTTACTAATCTTTTAGCAGCAAGACCCTTCCTAAGAGCACTATCTTCTGGATGAAGTTCAGAAAGAACATAATATTTATCGTTTTCTAATTGTTCAAAATTTAAAATTGTGCAGAAAGAAGAAAAAGGCTGCTCTGAAAATCTTATTTTCCAGTAATCAAAATACCTTAAAATTTTATTGTATACATGAATTATTTTAATTTAATTTCCTTTGTCAACAAATTATTTAAGAAAATAGAAACTTACCCTTTAATGCTGGCTATGGAATTAGGATCTTCTACATATAATTTATGGCTCGATTTTAAATGGGTAAATAAAAGATCTTTACCAACTGACAAGTCAAAATTTTGATCACACAGTGGGCAAGAGCATTTTTCATTTTCCCATGGCACAAAAGAAAATGGTAGCAATATATTGGGTGGCTCAGGAAAAGTTAAAGGCTCAAGCATATCACAAGCTCTATCTGGAAAGAAAAATAAATGGGTCAAAACAAAAAAATAATCCAAAGAATAAAATAAAAAATTAGAATCTAGCTTAAATTCATTTCCGTCTCATTAAACGAAATTGTAATTATTTCAATCAAAAAAATAATAATAATAATAATAATAATAATAATAATAATAATTAAAAGATAAATATTAAATTTACTTATAATAAAAACATAGAAAAAATTAGAACGTAGATGGTTGTTGTTCGTGGCAGTAGAAATTTAAAATACGTTACTATTTCGGAAACAATATTTGAGTATTATTAAAACTTTCAAAAATTATAAAATTTTCTATTATGATAACACATCACAAAGTTGATGGTTACGAAAATTTTTTAAAGTTATTAGGCATTATCGATTGCAAAGGAACCGTTATACTGTACTTTTGTGGTTCTCCTAATCCTGTAGGCCTCAGTTGGAATCCGAAATGCAATAGAAGTTAGTTTTTTTAATTTTTTTGTTTCTTGAATCATCAATTACATTTCGTTTCTTTAATATGCCACCTTAAAGTATTTGAGTTTTCATTTATTGATTATAAATTAAAAATTTTCAGGTGGGCCCATTGTTCATAGCGTACTTAAAAAAAATGAAAGGAAAAATTTTCATTTTGTACATGTTGGAGTTGGCACTTACAACGAGTAGGTGACTAACCCTAATTGTAAAGTTAAAAAATTGTAAACAATATAGTAATTAATGTACATTAAATAATTTTAATGTTTAGGTGGAATGACCCGTTCTGTCCTTTCAAAACCCACAAAGACATTCAATTGAAACATTTACCTACAATCATTTACTGGCGTAAACCAACAAGATTATGTGGAACTGAGTGTTGTGATCAAGAAAAAGTAAATCAGATGATTGAAAATTTACCGTAAAAATTACTTGTTTCGGACATTTAAAATTTTAATTAAATTTTTTGTTATAAGAAACACCAAAAATATAACAAACATAAATTATTATCTCAGTTTTTACAAAAAACACAATTAAATCCTTTTAAATTTTTTAAATTAGTAATAAAAAAAACATTTCTAAAAGTATCAGTATCTGTCATTCTGTACATCTCAGAATTTTAATTCTGCTTTTCCTAGTTTGCTAGTAAAGTAAATAATCATTATATGTTTGTTTTTGGTACCATATGATGTGCCCAGTAT